CGGCCTCTGCTGTGCAGCCCACGCAAGGGAAGACGGAGAGCGGGGAGGAGCCCACGCTCCTCACACATGAATGCCATAACCACTCGTTCCAAGTATTTACAGATCTGTGGATGGAATATGTATTTTCAAGATCTTTTAGTGACAATAAAAACCAGTTGTTTTCCGCCTGCCAACTCCACCCCAGGGTAACAGTTTCTTCTCCCATGTCTATTTAATTTTACTTTGACTGAACTAGATTTCTGGATGGCAGGGCCTTTTTTCTTTTTTTCACCATATATACTCAGTCACCCAAAGCAGGCCATGTAGTTTTCCTTGAACTTAATAAACAAAATGCACATATTTACTTGGAAAGGGGCTTTCCTTTTTTTATGAAAAAAGGAAGTCCAATTTCCATGTCCTTGCCATTCCCCGTGATCCATATACTCATCTGACAAACTTTTATTTTATGTCTACCACTGTGCCAATGACTATTTAAGTATAACCAGGCCCAAGTGTGTTCATTCTGAGACACAGATTACCTTCACTTTTCAACACAAAGTGCGTTTTCTTTGTCAGTGGTACAAAACGAACAGTGCATCTCACAACTAATAGGCATCTTACGTTTGGTAAAATGTGGCATGAGATAGTCAGTCCCTAGGCAGCTTATAGATGTTGCAATTACTATGCTGGCAGCCAGTTTTCTCATCTGTGGGAAGAAGCCCAAAGTTTAGTTTGGAAAAGTTAAGCCTACTTTTTATAAGAGATCAAACTGCCCGTCAGAAAAAGAGAGCAAACCTCCAAACAGCAGCACAACCAAAACACCTTGAAAGAACAGTGGGGTCTTGTGAGGACGGTAAGCCAAAGTGTAAAAGCTCCTCAAGGATTTTTTCTAGGAAATATTCCCAAAGACCAACAGTGAAAATTAGTTTTTTTTTTTTTCTTTCCCATTTGGCTAATTTTAATGTCGCATAGTACAGCGTTACTCTTTATGAGGTAACATATAAATGGAGGGGGGAAAATCCTTCCAGAAGGCAAGGAAAATTTCTGGGGGCAAAGAAATCTTTTTCCACATTGAAAAAAAAATCACCAACTAAAGAAATTGCCACCTGAGCCCTCAAGTTTGCAAAACTGGAAAAGACAGCCGAAAAGAAAATGGAACTATCCTAGCGGAAGTTATGTTACATTAGCCACATTTCTACCAGGAAACCTTAACAATTACTGGAGGAGAAGCTAGAAACATGGCTGAGAGCAAGGTCTTGACCTCCCAGAAATTGTAAATCAGATCCTCACATCTCCGGGATAAACTAACGTAAGAAATGGTGCCTGTGGCCCTGAGCTGTTAACAGCAGGATTATTAGTGTTGCATCCTGCAAATTCTATATTGGCCTGTTTAAGAGAAAGAGCAGCACTTCACTGTCATAGAGCAGGAACAGCAAAGAGAACAAAAAGCAGAGCAGGGCATCCTAATTGAAGCACAGCAGGCGGGCTGGCCGCCATGTTGAATCCAGAGACTTTGCACCATCTAACTCTTGGCTTTCCCACATCTGGTGCTTGATTCAAGCTGATCCAGCTGCATTCCTGACCATCAGCATGCAGGTGTTTCTACTGATGCTTTTCCCTGTTGGGGGAAAAAATGTGCTCTGAACTGAGGGGTAAAGTGCAGGGGTAAAGAGACAAGTGGCCAACCCAACCTGCCACAGAGTTAAAAATGCACCACCCAGGGAGAAAGCAATGGGGTGGCATGCCCAGCTCCACTGAGGCCACAGGAGCTCAAGGATATGTGGGCAGAGGGCGAGCATGTGTGCTGACCCAGAAGGAGTGTACCCGTTGTTCCGACAGCTCACAGAGCCTCCCAACAACTTGAAGTTTCCCCACTGGGGATGTCAGGGCCACTTAATGCAAAGTTTGATCCCTGGAGTAGGGAGTAAAACATTCTTTTTCTTCTATGTTGTGTGTCAGCTTGTATTGCTGAATGTCTTTGTTTCCTAACTGAATCCCATCAGTGTGGCTGACTGCCTCACTCACTTGAAACAAACTGAGCTAGGAAGCAAGTTCCTCAATGTGGCTGCTTCTCCGGGGAGCTAAGAAGAACAGGGCAATGCTCAGTCCCTGCAAAGAAAGGGAAAACTCCTATTTATTGTCTTTTAAGGTCATTACAAGCAGCACACACCAGATAGTCTCTCTTGTATCCCAGCTAAAGAAGCCTGGTATACACCACACCCGTCACTCCCGTGCAGAAATAAAGGCCTCTCAGGCAGTGGCTATCCATCTGCTCTTTAACGAGGTAGGTAGCATGACAGAATAAAAGAACTCCAGTTGGATTTCCTTTCTTCTAAAATAAGTAGTCTTGACCACACAACCTGGATGGTCCAGAACTCAAAAGTTCTATGAACTTAAGAAAAAATAATCTCAGGCTAGAGAAACACACTCTCAAATATCAATAGCTAGTCACACATACTCACCAAGGCATGACTGATGAATTATCAAATTAAGATAATAATTACATATTTTAATAAATTACTTGATATTATAATTATTTCATTATTATAGTAAGATCTAGCCACCCTCCCCCACCATAAGTAGTCTGCAGGTGACTTGATGACTTAGAAGCTACCGATTAAAACGGGGAAAAGATGACCAGAGGCAGGTAAGTTACCTGAGCACCTGCTATACACTTGCCCTCCACCCCGAGGTCAATCTTCCACCTTTAAATTCCTTGGGCTTATCTTCAGCTCATGATCAGCCCATAACTAGTTTAACAAGTTGCCACAAAGCACATAGCTGCCAGAAATTTGGGGGCAACCAAAATTGGGGAGGATTCAAAATTAGCAATTAGGAATCAGAGACGTATACCTAATAGTGAGTCCAGGTTGGTGAGTTGCACACAAGGCATCTGAGCATAAAAAAAAAATGGATTCTAGGCTTCTAGCTCCTTAATGTTAACTTTGGTTCTGAGTTCCCACGTTCCCCTCTGGTGAATGATAGTATGTTGGTGAGTTATAAAATGACTCTATAATTCTCTGGGAAACCACTGATGAATGTTTGATGAGGATTTTCAAAGTTGAAAAATTAAATCTTAATTTATTCTAGGTATGGATAAACACTGGATACAGTGTCTAGCACAGTGCTTTGCACTCATCAAATGTTAGATGAACATATATATGAGTCAATGATTGATCAGGGTCACAGAATTTGAGTTCCCTGATAGGAGAACACCTTCTGCCAGATACCTCCACACTATTCAATTCCACGTTTCCACTCATCTTTCCTTCAGGAGTAGGACCCAAAAGAACAATTGAACATAAAACATCAATTGAAATTACCTGTCAGTTTACTATAATTCCCTGGAAAGGTGGGCAAACTTTTAAATGTGAGCCTGGTGATTTCTACGCTCTGAAGAGGATCTATGACATCTCAAAGTGGCCTCTTAGTCACCCTGCATGAGGGCCCTTCAGGAACACACTGCCTTAGTCGGGTAGCAAATGCTTCGGCTCAGGACTTCTGAGAAATTTTATCTATGTCCTTTTTCTCTATATTCAAATGTATCTTTCGGAAGGAATCTCAACCGGGTGTGGAAGAAAAGCCTACTGTTAAGGGAGCCTGGGCAGTGGACCACAGACTTGGCGGCAGGAGGCGAGACCCAGCTTTTAACAGCCCCGATGAAGCAAGCATGTAAGCATGGAAAAGCAAAAGTTACTGCTGTTAGAAAGATGAACTGGAAGAATTTGTTTACAGTGCTACATTTGCCGTCTATCATTTCATCTGAGTTCATTTAAAATGACAACAAGACAAAAAGGTTGTGACAAAAATAGGAGCAGCAAAATGCAGAGTAGACCAAATTTTCCTGAGGGCCCTGTTGTCCTCCAGCAAGAGTGAAGAAGGCAGACAGAAATAGCAAATGTAGAAATAATGTTAAGAACAGCAATTAACGGTAACGACTGTTAATTGTTAATAGCAGAAATAACAGTAATCTAAGGGTAGCAGACAGAACGTGTCCGTTCTCAGGGAGCTCGGGCAAAGGGTCTGAATTCTTCAACTTCAGTCACAATTACCAGAACCCTGAGACTCTATCATTGTTCAATGTGAACGCACACACCTGCGCTGCTCATCTAGCAAGGCCCCGGCCCGTGTAAGACCCTCCAGTGCACTTTATCATGTCTGCTTAATGAAGACCCGGAACAGGTGGCTCCAAATGGACATGAAGACTCACAGCACCTCCTGTTAACACTCTTCTTGGTGGGAATTCTGTACAAAACCTAGTCTCAGGGACATAATGCTGACTCAAGAGAAACAGCCTGCACAGTGTCAGGCCGAACCTGCAGTGGGGGCCTGACCTGAGCCACATCTCAGCATCCATATAAAAGACAGGAGTGAGGGAGTTGGCCTTTTAAAAGAACAGGGTATGGGCTAACTTTTCCCAGAGAAGAGCCTGGTGATCAGGCCACAACAAGTGACAAGCCTTAAAAGGCCCCCGGGCATCATCTGCTCTCTAGGCAACATCCAAGCCTTGCCTGGGTGCTGATTCAAAATTCCACTTTAACCCAAAGTAATTTGAGGAAAGGGGAGAGAAATCCCTACTGTGAGGGTGATGGCTTTCTTGCTTGGAAAGACGTGACAGGGGTTCCTTCTCTGCCCTGGGAAGGCCCGCTTCAGCCCTTCCAAATCCTGGGCAGAGTGGTGCTGACCCCTAGGGGAGGATAGCAGAAGGACAAGTGTGGTGACAAGGCCCGCTAGAGTTGCCAACTGGATCTTGCCTGTGCGTGCATGGAACAGTTTGACCCTTACAGCCTCTACACTTAATCCCCCCTACCCCAGGCTGCCTACCTTCACCCCTAGAGAAGATTCCCAAAACCCTGGACAGGGATCTCCCACTCAGAAGGGCAAAAACAATACCAGAGAGAAGCAGCTCGTTGGGCAGGATGAAGGTAGAGGATATCAAGCTCCAAAAAGAGGCACCATGGGTCTGTTGGCCCAGGAGGAGGCCAGAGGGAGCAGGGAATGACAAATGCCACAGTGCTTACCAAACTCGCTCGCACAAAGATGTTCAATTATGGCTTCAGATTTCAACTCATTGTCACATGGTGGACACACCGTTGTGCCTAGGAAGGGAAAGAAGAAAAAACAGAAACTGTGAGCAACAGGGCAGAGTGCCACGAGCATTTGTCCCAACAGACAGACATTAGCACCAGGAGCAGGCTGAGAGCTGACGAAGGTCTGCAGCAATTTTCAAGGGCAATCTGAAAGTCAAAAAGAAGATGCCTTCAGCCCAGGACCCAAGCCGCAGACAGACAGGTGACCTCTTGAAAATTCAGAATCAAGAGTCTAAGACACCATGACTTAAGCCTACATTATCCGAGGCTGTGAGTTATGAGATGTGGAGGTTCCTGCAAAAATACAACTATTCCAGTTGTTTGTGTCCGGTTTTCCCGCCCCTCGCCTTTAAATACCCCCTCTGATTCCTCCCTCTTTCCCATTCCCAAACTTCCAACCAGACAGTCCATCCATGTGACCAGACTGCCAGAGCCAAGAAAAAAACTCGGCCAGATTCACCAACTCCAGCAATAAGGCCCTGAACATCCCTCTCCAAAAGGGCTATTGCAGCCTGAGTTCCTGCAGGGGCGGGGAGTAGGAGCAGCTGAGTGGGGGGCTTCAAGCAGCACTAGCAACAGCTGCCAAATGGGAGGACAGCGCTGGACATGAAAACAAGCATTTTCATGACTTTGTGAAGTGCTTTGAAGGGGGAGGTGTGTGTGGCCTGCGTGCGAGTGATTGTGGGGCGGCGGTGGGAGGAGGCTTCCGAGGCCAGGGTCAGAGGGGCCTCCTCCAAGGCAAAATGCTGCTGAGACTGTAGGGAGCCCAGAGAAGATGAGGCCTGGTATTTGTGTTGTGATGGCCCCACGATTGGAATATTAGAAGGAGGGGGTGAAAGGCGGGAAACCGAGAAACGTGCAAGGACAGGAGAAAGTGGTACAGTGGAAATGGCTTGTCACCAACCCCACCACCAACAGCACTAAGCCCTCCGCCTCACCACCATCAAACAGCTTGAGGTTTTAGGATCTTGGGAAGCACATTCCAGGGCACTCCACCTCTGGCACCGCACCAGAGGCTAAGCCGGATTGGAGTGAACTAGTGCGGGAAAACCACCCCCAGAAAGGATGAAACTTGAGGCTCTTCATCGTCCTCCTCCCCTCTCTAGTGGCTTCTGTGGCAGTGTCTCCTTCCCCACTGGGCTTCCCTGCAGCTCAGTGAGTAGGCAAAGTCCCCTCCAGTGTAGATAAGAGAGGGGGAGCACAGCTTCCCAGGTGTGTGCTGCCCTCAGGCTATAACTGGTGAGTGGGCTGGCAGAAGTGGGGAAGAGATGCCCACCGCCCCCCATTTCTAAGCAGAGGCCACACACCTTCATCTTATTTGATATATTCCTCTCCCTCTTCTACCCTGTACCCAGGGTCCAACACTATCCGGATTCTCAGCATGGCAAGGACCACGGTTACCCATTCTGGTGCTGGGGGCCCAGATGTGAGTTTGCACCCAGAATTTGAAATTGGGTTCTAGGGTAGTGTTTCTGATGAAGGGGGGGGGGGTGGAAATAAGCACAATTTTGCTTTATGACTCCTGCTTCCATGGAGAAAAATAGGAGAAAGGAAATCCCACCATATGGGAACGACAGAAGTAGCTACTCTGGGAGAACAACCTCTGTTTGAAGGTTTTCCTGGCCTAAGTTATTTTTAAAAAAGAAAAAAGTATTAACCAGATAACTAACAAGGCTATTAACCAGCTAACTAACAAGAGCATAATACGAGGTCGCTATCTCCTTATGTGGACATGCATAGGTCACCTCCTCTGCACATCCCGAGTCCCCCTGACCTGACTGGCAATGAAGTCTCTGTACCCCATGCGGCATTTTCCTCAGTTCCATCAGTTACATTTGGCCTAGTGCCTCTCCAGAGGCAAATGCTTCTTGGGGTGAGCTGTGTTCTTGGCATAAATTTTTCCCATTTCAACTTTTCTTGCAGCGGAGACTCTGGAGCAGCTTGATCCAGAGAAGGAAGGAATGTGTAATGCAATATTAATCTGGGCCCCTTTTGGGGCGTCCTGGGGGCCCTGAGGCGGCCTCCACAGGAGAAATCCACCAGTCACCCATTGGAGACTAGAACTAAGTTGCTGTTTTCAGTTGTGTTGAAAGCAAAGGAAAAAGAACTAAAAGGTTTTATTAATGTTTAGGGGGAGAAGGAGAAAGTCTAACATTGGAATCGGGGTTAAATGAAACTTTGAAAATCAAGGCATTCACATGCACACAGTTTACACACGTTCCCTTACACAAACATGCAAGCTCTACTGCTTGCACACAAAACTTTCACACACACACAAGCACTCACACACAAGCAGACCCACCGATGCGCGCCTGCTGTCACACCCAGAAACACTCTCATACACACAGCAGGTCTTCCCTCACCAGCACCTCAATACAGAGAAGTGGGAGCCGGGTGCAGGCTGGGGGCAGGGGCTCTTTGCAGAATGAAGACACTCTGTGGCCGCTGCAATCAGTGCCTGAAACAGCCAGGCTGATTTAAAGCATAATGTGCCTAAACAACAAAATAAGCTAAACATATGTCCTCATTCATACAACTTGAGTCAGTAAAACCTGGCAGGGGCAAGAATAACAATTTATCAGCCTGGGAGTGGACAGATCTAATGTAAGTACAGGGTTTAGGAAAAAACTCTCCTGGAAAAAGAACAATGGCCTCTCTCCTGACAGCTGCTGATGCTGCTTAGGCATCATCTTTGGAGCAGGGTAGGATGTGGGGGGGAAGAGGGGAGGCAGGAGGTGGAGTATCTTTGGACTCATTTCTCATTATCTGGTTTATCTTTAACAGCACATGGCCACAAAAGCCTGCCATACCTCAACATTGCATATGCTCAAGTATGTGGACGGGAACTTGTCCGCAGCATGCAGCACTAGGCATTGTTTTGAAAATGGAGTTTTAGTTTCAAAGATAAAAAGATTAAAGAACGAAAAGTAGTGGCCGTGTAATGATTCACATCTAAGAGTACCAGTTCCTTTTGGGGCCACCTGTTGTAGTGTTATGAGCACCAGCAGAGAGGCTGGTCTCAACCTGCCCTACACACCCACGCAGGCACATACACAGCCTGCCATCGCCATGCTCTGCTGACCTTCTGTGACCATTTGGCTTCAGAGACAGTCATGTGGGACTCCCTGCAACAAGGGGATCCTGGGAAGGACCCTTATAAGCTTCCCACCAGAGCCACTGAGGAAGACTCAAATCCCACATCTGACTGGTCCCCTCCCAGTTTTCCACTGTTAAGCAGCTGGTCTTGGAAGGGTAACCACTGGAGGTTTGCTGGGATGGAGGAAGAGCAGAGGCCCAGGTGGAGGGGCGAGCCAACACACAGTGCAGCGGCAGCGGCCGAAGCAGCAGTTGTTTGGTTTCCCCATGCCACCCCGTCTTTTGGAGGGCTGAGTTGGAAGGACTTTCCCTTTCATCAGCAGACACCCCTTCACATGGCCCTACCTTCCTTTTAGAAGTGCTTCTCCAAGGCACTTATTACTTTGGAACTACAGACTATCCCAGAAAGGAACTGAGAGTGGACTCAGCTCAGTGCAGACAGAGGTGGCCCCAGCCTCTCAGGGCAAAGCTGGGCTAATCTCCCACCAGCCAGCAGAGGAAGGGGAGAAGCAAAATCCTGTGGCTGCAGGGGATGGTTCCACACCGACAGAACACAAAGTGCTTTGTTTGCTCTAGGTAATTGCTCAGCTCAGGCTCTCCAGGGCTGCATTTCCCTAAGGTTAACCCTGTGCAGACAGACACCCAGGAAGCAGAAAGCAGAGATGCCCAGACATCCCCACTGAAGGCTGGTGCCACCTTTGCTACCAGGAAGGGCTTTATGCCTCCCAGCATTGGTCATTTGGACCTACCTCCTCCCTCCCAGAAATAAGCAAGAGCATTCAAAATTCAAGGTTCCCCTTTCCAGTAACTATCCTCATCTTCAGTAGACATTTCTTTCTGACCTCACTTCATGAAAAGCTAAGTCAGTAAGCAGAGGGACTCCCCCACACACCCTACTTAAAGACTGCGGAGGTCAGGAGCCTTGCGCTAAAAATACCCTATGGATTCCCCATTCCAAGACTACCTCTATTCCCAGCCTTACCTCTGCTTCCAAGAATTCAGGGTTAAATTCGATCCCATAAAAGTCAGGCCACAGTACTGGATTTTTTTGCCTGTCTGTTTTAGTTTTCGGTTTTTCGGTTTTGATTTTTTTGCCTCTCCAGATTTTTCCCCTCCCACTTGAAAGTTGCCCTTCGGTGGGAAGGGGTGCTGAGAGGAACCTCAGGTGGGTCCCTGAGGTGGTTAAGAAAGTGTCCAGCTTTCAGAGCCTCCCTCCCAAATGAGAGGTGAACAATGAGCTAATTACATTTTTATCTTTCTAATTACCTGAGGATTTGTGTGAGAAATGCAGGGGGTATGTGAGAATGAGGGAGAAGAGACTTTCCATCCCCCCAAACCCTCCCAAAGCAGAGGCTGTGATCTGAGCGGGGTGGAGAAACAGAAATCCCCAGTTTCTAAACTTTTTTTTTTTTTCTTGCATCAATCCTGGAGCTACTTGGCCGAATGAGGTCAAGAAATGAGGTCTTTTTTTTTTTAATCCTCATTGAACCAATGAAAATAAACATACTAAGCCTTAGCATTTTCTTGGTCTTTCTAAGTTTTCTACACTTTGGAGGGTTTTGATTCTCCCCCCGGGCATCCCGTCTCGGATGTTAAAAATTTCCGTGGGGGACTACTCGGTTCACTCCCAGAGGAGAGACGAGCTCTCCGATTATTTAGATCTCAAGTCTTTGTTCCAGGTGTGGAAAGGCGAGCCAGAATCCCAGGAAGCGCCTCTCCAGGAACGCGACCAAGTTTGCTGGGGGCCGAGAAGCTTTCGCTGCTGCCGGGCAAGCCCCGCCGCACACCTACGTCTGGAAAGGCACTAAAGGGCACCGCCGACAGACAAGAAGCTTTTAAAACGCGTTCTGCACAGCTGGAAAGCAAACTCTAGAGAGCACGTCGGAAACCTGGGGTGGGGGCGGCAGCTGCGCGAGAGGCCAAGAGGCAATGGCTGTCCCGCAGCCTTGGCAGCAGCCGGGCCAGTCTCAGGGTCCCAGCCCGCCCAGGGTGGGGGGTCTCGCGGGCGCGTTTGGGGACGACCTCACCTTGGGGCTTGGAGGCTTCGGTGGCATTGGGCGGGGTCATGGCTATGCAGACGTCCCCCTCGGGGAACTTGTCACACTTGAGCATCTCGGGCCAGTAGAAGCCGAAGAACTGCATGACCGGCTCGCACGAGTCGCGCACGGCCTCGCAGAGCCAGCGGCACGGGTAGATGGGCCGGTCGAGGCAGACAGGCGCGAATAGGGAGCAGAGGAAGACCTGGGTGCCAATGTGGCAGTTCTTGTTGAGCAGGGGCACCCAGCTGCTGGCCTGCTGCTTCACTTCGGCCATAGTCTCGTGCTCCAGCAGGTTGGGCAGTACCATCTTCTTGTAGCCCACGTTGTGGCACAGTCGCAGGTCCACTGGGATGTCCACGCACTGCGGCGGTTTGGTGTAGAAGCGCCCGCTCTGGTACGAGCCGATGTCCGACTGGAAGCTCACGTAGTCGTACTCGCTGGCCGAGCTCGCGGCCAAGAGCCCGGCGGCCAGCGCTAGCAGCACGCCCAGGGCGGCCCAGCGGCGGCCCCAGTCGCCGCGCCCGCTGCCCATGCTGGCTCAGCGCACTAGCTACCGCGACGTCGGGGCTCCCTCCGCCGCCTCCCCGCACGCGTCCCGCCGCAAACTTCCAGGAATGTCCAGGGACAAAAGGCGCTGTCCCCACCCCTGCCCGGCTCCGCGGCCGCGCTCCTGCCCAGTCCACAGTGTGTGGCGGCCCTCGGCCTGCCGCAGGCGCGGC